ATCACTGGTTCTCAACCTTGGCTTACTCAGGAGTTGTGGACTGCAACTCCCAGAAGCCTTCACCACCAACTGTGCTGGCTGGGGTTTCTGGGAGTTGCAGTTCAAAAACATCCGAGTAACAAAGGTTGGGAACCTAGGACTTAAATCATTGAGCTATCCAGCCAGCGCGGCTCTGTTCCCTACACCACACTTTTATTTTATTGTGTACCACCAAGTCAATTCTGACTTACGGTGACCCCCTTCCCAAGGTTTTTCCAGGTAAAGAATACTCAGAACTGATTTCCCATTCCCTTCTTCTGGAAGCAGCTCTCTGGTGGCTTGGCTTTACTTCTTTAACTGTCTATGTTTCTCTAAGAGATTTATGCACAAGCTGTGTATATAATGCCATGTATATATGTCTGATCTAAATAATATATGAAGCCTGAATATATTATGTCATAAGTTTTTTGATCAAACTCTCTCTGTGTTTTTTCCTGAACCCTCTGCATCTTTACTCTGCTTATTAGAAGGGAAGATTTGAAGCTGCCTGATAAGGAACTCTGTTTAACCTGTTAACTTGCGCTCCAAGGTTTGTCCTCATCAACAGAGTGCTCTTGGGAGTTTCCCTAGCCAAACGCTGATTCCATGCTTCAGGAGGGGCAAATGCCAGATCTGTTTTTGGCCTTGGCACCCAGGCAACAGGCCAGCCAGGCTGGCTCTTCTCGCAGGAGGCCCCGCGGGGGAATCAAACTCCCAGCATCTGGCTCCACAGTCAGGCACCTAAATCTCTGAACGATCCAGCCTACAGTCCTCAAAACAGCTCAGAGCAAAAATCAACTTGCATAGGTAACATTAAAAGAAAATAATTTATTACAATATATAGGAACAAATAGGGACATGGTGGCGCTGCGGGCTAAACTGCAGAAGCCTGTGCTGCAGGGTCAGAAGACCAGCAGTCGTAAGATCGAATCCACGCGACAAAGTGAGTGCCCATCGCTTGTCCCAGCTCCCGCCAACCTAGCGGTTCGAAAGCATGCAAATGCGAGTAGATCAATAGGGACCACCTCGATGGGAAGGTAACAGCGTTCCGTGTCTAACTCGCACTGGCCATGTGACCACGGAAGATTGTCTTTGGACAAAACGCTGGCTCTATGGCTTGGAAACGGGGATGAGCGCCGCCCCCTAGAGTCGAACACGACTGGACAAAAATTGTCAAAGTGAACCTTTACCTTTACCTTTACGAACAAATCCAGATACGACAACCCTTGAAGGAACGATTTAACAAGCAGAGGAATGCAATAATATACTAAAACGAATGGCTGAAAACCAGCAGTAAGTCAGAATGGGCTCATTTGAATCCGTGGAACGTGCGCTAACCAAATCCCCACTGATTCAATGAGCCTACTTAAGTGAAGGCTCCGTGCTGGATTTCAGCCATTCAGACGAGTGCACAAACCTGGGGAAAGAACTAAATGGAGTGATCTTGTCATTCTGAAAATTTGGCTATTCACCTATGAACCTCTTTATTAGCCAGCAGAGGCTGCTGGGGGGTGGTGGAGAGCTTCTCCGGTAAAAAGCTACTTGCATTGCTATACAGTACTTGAAAAAGAGGAAGGGGCTTCCTTTCTTCAGCAGCCCACCAGGCTTCTATACCGCCGGTAGCCAAAGACGGGACAGAGTGTCCTGCCTTTTTCTGCCAGGCTTTGCATTGATTCTCCCAGTCACACTGACCTTCTGACGGTGGTACAATCATCATCATTACAGAAGCTAAAAGTAGGTGAAAGGGAAAACTAGCTTGGTTTCAAAAGAATGCCTCCAGGGACGGTGCAGGAGGAAAGTATCCCTCACTCTTTTACAGAAGCCCCTGAAGATGGCTTCCACGAGTGCAGATTCTGCAGAGAGTATTATAGAAACACTCATGTTCCACCGCCTTTTTCCTGCTAGGGAAAGGAACTGATTTTAAGGAAAGAAGGAGTAAGGAAGTAAGCCTTGGAGTACCAATCTACACAAAGATAAAATCAAGGAGGAAAGACATATTTAGATGCATCTGACCGTCCTTGCCACCCCTGCCCCCACTGGTTCAGATCTGTCTGGGTTGGTGCTCTATGCCAAAAAAAACCTCACCTCTTCTGATTGATTGGCGACAGGCCACCCCAGGGCATGTTCAGGTCTGTTGATCTCTCTGCCTTTTTGGGGGGGAATGAAAGGGAAATGCTTGTCATGCACAGAAAAGTAATTATCTATCCAAAATTGAAAACACTGCTGGTTTCCTGGCCTGCTTCCCAACAGATGCTCAGAGCATTTGTACAGAAGATGCAGACAATCCGTGATGAAGTGGCCTTAAGTCTTGATTGAGTTCCTGCCAGTCCTGCTTGCTTTTGCAGGTCAGCAGAGGTTGAATGAGGGTGAGGAGAAGGGAGGAAGACACGTTTGCTTCCTTGTTTGTTTCATAGGCAAAAAACCAACAACCTCACACTGTTTTGGTTCCAGGGGCTGGGTTGCCCTGTTGGATCAATGCAGGTGGGCAAAAGGTGCTTTCTTGCCTCAGTGCCATCTAGGTTTCCTCTTCTGTGGAAGAGAGAATAGGGAATCCCTCCCCCCCCCTTGTCACTTGCTTTCCCAGGGTGTGATCCAATGAGGAGAAAGGGTAGGGTCTGATCACACTGCAAAAGGTTGCTTTGGACCTTGTGGCACAGTGGTTAAACTGCAGTACTGCAGCCAGAACTCTGCTCACCACCTGGGTTCAATCCCAGACAGTGGCTCAAGGTTCACTCAGCCTTCCATCCCTCCAGTAAATTGAGTACCCAATCTTGCTGGGGTGGGTGGCGATGTGTAGCCTGCAGAATGATATTGCAACCTGCCCAGAGAGTGCTTTAAGTCCTATGGGGCGGTATAGAAGCCGCACACTTTGCTTTTTTGCTGGGAATGGTCTCCCTTAGAGCTGCAAAGCTGGAAAAGGCCCTATAGATTGAGCGGAGAATCGAACTCCCAACCTCTAGCTCCACAGATAGAGACAGGAACCACTGAACTATCCAGCAGCTGTTAAAGCAAGCCTTCTGTCTGTGCAATGATTTCTCCAGCCCAGCCCCACGGAAAGGTTAGCCAAAAATGTCCAACTTAAACAAGGATCCGGGTGAGATTGCACTAAAGTATCAAGCAGTATATAAATATTCTCAACCAACCAACCAATCAATTCAATGCAGTATTTAAAAGACTTTGGACCCCCATTCCAGACACCCACCCTCCTACTACTAGCGCAGCCCGCCATGGGAAGGACTGGAGTCCGAGGACTTTGGCCGCTGCCCCGAGAGCATAGCTGCGTTGGGTAAGGACCAAAGATTTTGGGCATGGGGGGCGTGGTTGGTTCAGGAGGCCTGGTCTGGCAGGGGCAGAATTTTCCCCGTAGAATATTCTTCCTTGGCCTTCTTGCCAGCGGCCACTGAGAAGCTCTCTTGGCAGCTGAAAAGAAATAAAATAAAATAAAACCTTTAACAAAAACCCAGGTCCAAACCCTGGAAAGTTCCTTTATGGACTCCAACTCCCATAATCCTCAGTTTGCCTGGTAGAACTATTGAAGGTTTAGTCCAGAAGGAACTGTCAGCTTTGCCAGATTGTCCCCAGGCCCATATTCAACACCACCGTCAATCTTGGTTAAACAGGAGTTGTGCAGCTGTATTAAGACCACCAACATCCTCCTCCTTATTATACTTATTTCTCTGCCTTGCTAATGCTTCGGGGGAGAACCAAAGGGTGAAGTGAATTCTACAAATTAGAAATAAAGTCTTAAAAATTTGTGGGCGAGATGTTGTGTTTGTAAAACCAGTTTCTTTCTTTCTTTGTTTCTTTCTTTCTTTATTTATTTCAAGAAACAAATTAGAAGATTGCCAATTGTTTTAAATTGGTAACCAAAGACGCTGGAACAATTCTGGTTGTTGAAAGATGATACTGGGAAGAAAGATGATATTGACTCCATATTGTTTTAATTTCTTAGCTAAACGTTCAATACTCTGCAAATTCTGTACTTTCTGCCCTTTGGGGGTTGCTTATTGATAGAACTCCAACTTCTAGTTTACAGCATCCAACTGTGATACCACAAAATGTTTATTTGGATTCATGAGGTGCCCTACACAAATCACTTCATAACTGCTTCATAATTATTTTCTGATGGTACCTACTGCAAAGTCATACTTTTTAAATTGGTTTACTGTTGCTACTACTACTAGTAGTAGCTATTACTATTACTGATCAGTGGGATTGGAATAAGATTTTGCAGGAAGGACGGTACCTGTCCAGGGTTCCAGCCAAGCAGCCCCATCTTCTCCCCTAGCTGGAACGACCCGGAGAGACCCAAATCCGTAGGGGACTCAGCAACAGCAGGAAGGCAAGACTTACCGACAGCATAGTTACTGGCCTTCTGCATCTCCCGTTTCAGCTGCTCCACCTCTGCTTCCATCTCCTCCATTTCCAGTGGGTGGCCACCGTGAAACAGTAAAGACAGTTTGGCCTAAAAGACAACCGCCAAAGGGTGGAAGAGCTTGCCCAGAAAAAGGTAGCCATCATGGCACTCACCGGGGCCAGGGTTTAGATAGGTCCAGGCAGGACAGACTATCTTCTGCCAGTTTAGAGACCAGTCTCATTTTAAAAGAAATATGGCTGTCCACAGGACAAACAGACAAATAAATACAGCTCCCCAAAAGTAGAAATTTAGCAGATCAGGAATTAAGGTATTAAGTTGCCCCCTTCCATACTAAATGGTTACCTGTGAAGAGATTTTTCTTTAAAAATAGAACATCGTTAAAAAGTATTACACACACACCCCTTTCATTCTTCAGTGTTTTCCTGTGTTCCTATGCCTTCCGTTCAATCTCTTGCTGCTGGCCTTTTTGTTACCTAGCACAAATCCACTCCCAAATCACAGTGACCCCTGTGATTTAGGAACCTTCAGAAGAAGCTGACACAGCACCTCAAGTCTTTCAAACTAAAAACTATGTTTTCCTTGATGGCGTCAATCCATCTCATATCCAGGCTTCCTCTTTTCCTGTTGCCTTCAACTTTTCCAAGCATTATTGTTTCGACACCCTCTCTGTGGTTAGTTTTGCTTTTCCAAAGAGTTCAAGCGTAATCTGAGTTAGCATCCTGTTCTTCATCTTTCTGGTAGTCCAGCTACCCAAAAAGCTTCTGCATTTTAATTGGATTTTTTTCTCCTCTCCATCAGCTTTCCTCAGTGTCTAACTTTCACAATGGTACCTAGTCATCTTACTAAACGTTATTGTGGACCTCTATCCTATATTTTTTGGGGACGTGGTGGCGCTGCAGGATAAACCGCAGAAGCCTGTGCTGCAGGGTCAGAAGACCAGCAGTCGTAAGATCGAATCCACGCGACGGAGTGAGCACCCATCACTTGTCCCAGCTCCCGCCAACCTAGCGGTTCGAAAGCATGCAAATGCGAGTAGATAAATAGGGACCACCTCGGTGGGAAGGTAACAGCGTTCCGTGTCTAAGTCACACTGGCCGTGTGACCACGGAAGATTGTCTTCGGACAAAACTCTGGCTCTATGGCTTTGAAACAGGGATGAGCACCACCCCCTAGAGTCAGACACGACTGGACAAAAAATTGTCAAGGGGAACCTTTACCTTTACTATCCTATATTTAATAGGCTGATAGCTTAGCGGTTTAGTTATTTGGCTGTGGAGCCAGAGAGAGTTCAGTTCCTGCACTGGGGCCTCCTCTGTGTACAAGTCAACCTGGGTGGCCTTGGGCAAGCTGTTCGGTCCCAGGGCGCCCCTAGTGGAAGGAAATGGCAAACCACTTCTGAGTGCTTTCTACCTGGAAAAGGTCGCCATAAGTCAGAATGTACCTGATGGCCCATGAGGATGAGGATGCATTTGTATGTGTACCTGCAAATGTAGAAATAAGGGATGCAATTTAAATAGAAATGCACTGCCTCTCACTTTAATAAGGAAGGCAGTTATTTGCTGGCAGGGTGTTTTGCTAACTAGAGGGAAATAGCTTTGAGGGCCCTGTATGCTTGTTTTGTTTTTCAGTTTTCTTATCTTTCCTGTGGACTTGGACTATTTAACTGCAATGCACTTAGACAAAAATCAAGGAATGCCTTCTCTAAAGTAGGTCACAAGGCCATCCATGGACTCTTTCCAGCAACTGGTGTCTTGGTGGCTTTTAAGGAGTCTTCGTAGTGCTGAAATTTGCACACTTGGAATTGTTTCTCTGTTGCAGGTTCACATTGACTTATTCAACCACTACCTATACTATTTATTGTTTTGGGTTTGTAAGATGGTGTTTGCCAAGTCAGATCTTGGCAAAAATTTGTGCAGGGATTCTACGACAATTCCAGAAAAGAGCAGTCTGGAAAAGTAGCCTTTTTAAATTCTGCATTTATTGAAAGGTGCCTGTGAGGAACATTTCCACAAAAGGAGAGAATTATATATAGTTTAAATAGATGTGACTGTTTAAGTGTTTGTACTAATCTCCATGCCACGTAAAGGCAGCCAATTTCTTCCATCACATGCGTCTGCTAAAGGCGCAGGAGCAGCCCAAGATTCTAATCAGTTGGCAACTTTGGTTAACGACAGGAGAAAAAGAGAAAGTAGCAACAAAAATACAAAAGCACAAAGCAGAAAGCCAGAAAATGGGTAAATGAGGGAGGCAAATGTATATCATGATAGATTGTAGGATCTGTCTGTGACTGCCGGAAAGGCAAACAAGTGGGTCAAATTAAGCCTGAATTATCTCAGGAAGCAAAAATATTGAAACTGAGGTTGTGCTACTTTGGGCACATTATAAGAAGACAGGATTCTCTGGAAAAGACAGTCATGCTGGGAAAGGCTGAAGGCAGTAGGAAAAGAGGAGGATCAAATATGAAATTGATTGACTCAATAAAGGAAGCCACAGACCTGAGTTTGCAAGAGCTGAACAATTGAGGACAGGACCTTTTGGAGATAATCATTCATAGGGTTGCCATGGATTGGAGGTGATTTGATCACATGAAAAAAAGAAATGTACAATTATTGGATTTATTATCCTTGCATTTTTTCCAGGGATTATTTGGAGGCTTCCTGGCCCCCTTTTCTGCTCTCATGCCAGTTTCCTAGTCCTCACCTTCAAACAGGATAACAGGTCAGCTTCCTCCTGATCCAGCTGTTTCCTCTTCCTGACAATGGACTCGCAAATTCCTGGATTTTGCTCCATTCTTCTGTAAAGGTCCTGCAGGGATTTCTCTGTATAACTCAGGGACTGCTGTTCAAATTCCTCGGGAGAGACCCTCGTGCAAAAAGAGATATATAGCGGGGACTCATTGTCAAATTCATCCAGAATCTCCATCTTAGACCTGCGCCTGGCCAGGAAAGGGATACAGATAGTAAAACCTTCTCAAAATAATTAGATAGTAGTTCACATCTGCAGCTTCCAACATGGAAGAAATGCCAGCCAACTAGATGTGCACAATTAAACAAGATGTGGGAGAATTAGAACTCGTGCTCCAGATACACCTGTTCTTGGAGAGGTCTGACCTGGCCATGGTGACACATGCCTTAGTTACATCCCAGCTGGATTACTGTAATGCACTCTGTGTGGGGCTGCTTCTGGGAAGTGTCTGGAAACGTCGGGAGGTCCAAAGCGCAGCAGTCAATAATTGCTGACTGGGGCTGGACACAGGGATCATCCCCCACCACCACCATTAGAGCAGTGCTCCTGGCTGCTGATCCGTTTCTGATCACAATTCAAAGTGCTGGTTCCTAACCTATAAAGCCCCAAACGGCTTGGTCGCAAGCAATCTCAAGGATCGCGCCTGCCTTTATGAGACTCTGGAACTCCCTGCCACTGGAGGCCAGCCTGGCCCCATCTTGGCTGTCCTTCCACAAGCAGGCAAATAAGACTTTTCTCTTCAGGCAGGCTTTCCCGCAGTGATTACCTTCTTGACTAGGGTTTTTTAAATTGATGGTTGTACATTACTCCATTTAATGTGTTACAATATTCACTTAATCCTTTTTAGTGTTTGCATCATCGCTGTTCTTAGCTGTCTTGCGTCCTTTTTAAGGAGAAAAATAGGATTAAAAATATTTGAATTTAATAAACAAACAAACAAACTTGTTGCAAAAGATATGACTGTGCTCAACATGGCTAGGTTTGGGCTCCTAAATAACAGATATTAATGGGGGGGGGAGGGTGAAAGCTTCCCCTCTCCCACCCTATACAGGACAGGGTAAAGGCATCTTGTCCGGAGCGGGTGTGTTAGATAGACTGTCCTTTCCTTTTCTGGAAAGGAAAAGGCCTTGGCCAAAGGACCTCGAGGACCGGATCAGCCCCATCCCACAGCCTGTTCTCCCAGAAGGGACTCTCGCCGGCGTGATCCGTGGGGCCCACCCCCAAGGGACCGTACTAAGGAGAACGCTGTGGCCAAACCTTCCTTCCAAAGGGGACAAACTCCCTTGGCGGGAGGTCCAGGTGCTACCTCAGGTGGAAGAAGACGGTGCGGATGTCCAAAGGTCTTCTAGGCCTGGAGCAGCGAAGCAGCCGATGCCCGGGGCCAGCTAAGCCAGGAGAGAAGGTGCGGATTTGACTCGGTGGTAGCTGGGGGGAAATATCTCTGGAAGGCAAGCCATTCTTGGCTTGAGCCTCCCAGAGTGGGCAGCCTCCAAAGGCCAGGGAGCCAATCATCGACCTCCCAGCGGTGGTCTCAAGCTGTGACATCATGAATCCAAGGAATCTTGTCATCAGGACCATCGCCTAGATGCTGGGACGTCTCCATGGGGAGCAAAGGTTCTGCAGGCTCGCTGACTTTGGATCGAGCTCTGCAGCATAGCCTCCAGCAGTCCCATGCTCTGTACAGTGGTGCCTCGCTTGACGAGGATAATTCGTTCCGTTCAAATCGCTGTTAAGCGAAATCCTTGTCAAGCGAAATTAAAAAACCCATTGAAATGCATTGAAAACTGGTTCAGTGTGTTCCAATGGGCTAAATAATTCAGTGTGTGAACCGATCATCGTTAAGCAAATTTTCCCCATAGGAACATTATTTTGCGATCGCAATAGCAAAAACTTCATTGTAAAGCGGTTTCATCGTTTAACGAGGTAATTGTTAAGCGAGGCACCACTGTATGTCAATGCCATCAAATGGCCCCATGCTTCCTTCGAGGCAGTATTCCTGGGTTCTCCTCCACTCCCCCATGTCTTCCCTTCACCAAAAGCCTTTGAGCAAAGAGATCCAAGACCGCCTGGTGAGCTTCATGGCCAGTCTCAAACCTGAGATCTCCCTAGACCGGAGATGGGCATGGTGGAGGTCTCCAGGTGTTTCTGGACTACAACTCCCATGAAGCATAGCTCTCCTAGCCAGTGGTGAGGAATGCCGGTGTCAGAAGAAGAAAAAAATTATTCCAAATACTAATACTGATAATAAACCTCAAAAAGACTATTCTCTGAAGCAGGGTGAGGAATGCCGGTGTCAGAAGAAGAAAAAATTAATTCCAAATAATACTGATAATAAACCTCAAAAAAACTATTCTCTGAAGCACGCAGGATTTTATTTAAGATGTGCACACAAACAGCATGATGCCATCCAGAGGGTAGATTGCAAAGATGTCATCCCCAACAAAATGACAGCATTTTATATTCTTGTCACAACCTGGCTCAATCACAAACATCATTTGCTTTTCACGGGCACGTTACCCAATTACGGTATGAGATTGACCAAGTGGGATTTTCCGTCTTAAGTTGGAAATAAATAAATAAATAAATAAATAAATAAATAAATTTTGTGCTTTGCGGTGAACTTCACATTGACAGTTCCGCTTTTTGCACTGACAGTAAGGAGATGACTTAATAGCTGGTGGTCTGAGAGGGGTTTTTTAAATGAATGGTTCTACAGTACTCTGTTTTTTGAAATGTGTTGTAGTATTGGTTTTATTACTGCTTTGAATGTATACTTGTTTAATTCTTTTCAAAATATTTGTATGCTTACTGTTTTTAACTTCTACATATTGTCTTTTTAATGATGTAAGCTGCCTTGTTGTGTTTTTTTTAAGGCTGGATAAACATATTTTAAAGAGAGAGAGAGAGAGAGAGAGAGAGAGAAAGAAAGAAAGAAAGAAAGAAAAAGAATTGCCTAATAGCTCCTCACTCAGAAGCTTAGTTTACAAGCCTGCGCTCGAAGCCCTTAAAACACACACACACACACACACACACACACACAAAACCTGTGTGTGTTTCTCCCATTGCACACCTCAGTTTCCAGCAGCCCCCTTTTCTTTTCCAAAGTGCAGAATTTATTGGGGGGGGGGACATTGATGTAACGTTAGGACGGGGAACGTTCCGCAAGCGTTACATTTTGCAAACTACTTCTCCCTCCCGCCCCGCCCCCTTCTTGCTGTTTGATACGGAAAGCAGAGCCAGTTTGACAGACGTCTGGGTGGGGCGAGGGCGGGGCCATTTGCATCTGGGTGGCGATTGGCTAAGAGAAGGAGGGGCGGGGCTCCTGAGATGAGGTGATCTCAAAAATCCGTTGGAGTTCAGTTCGTGTTGAGGGGAGAGAAAGAGACACATGTTGTGGTTGCCTCTGGGCAGAAAACTGCCCCCCCCCCCAGTCAGAGCCAGCCAGGGGGTTGGGGTTGTGGGTATCCTCAGGCTCTTTCCTTCCTTCCCACTGGAAGAGAAAGCAAAATGCCTGACCTGTAGCCTGTAGTCCTCCTTGCCACCTGAAAGCCCTTCTTCATTTTCCCTGCCCTTAGAAAAGTGGAAACGTGGCACAGAAGAAGGGCCGGTTGAAGGCCAGTTTTTCCTCAGTGAGAGAAGGCAGGGTTGGGGCTTCGTGGAAGGGGGGGAGGCTGTATCTGTGAGGGAAAGCATGAGGGGGGTTCGTTTTGCCTTATACTGTGCCAGAGAATGATGAGAGGAGAAACTACCTGGCATGGCCAATAATAATAAATAAAGTTTTATTTTTAACTACATCGATCTCTGTCATGCAATCGAAAGAGAAGCAAATCCTGAGAGCCCAGTGAGCAAAACTCAAAAAACAGCACCAAAAGATGGATCTGTGGCAACCAAAGCCTTAAAACTCAAAAAACAGCACCAAAAGATGGCTCTGTGGCACCTCAGGCTCTGAGGAAAAGGGCAGGGAAGCATTCTTGCTGTGGGAGAAGGGGGGGCTTGCAGCTTTGTCAGCCCTGGGATGGTACACCTTTTATGTTTTTCTAAACCAAGTTTCAAGTATAAAATGAAAAAGATGAAAGAACAAAAGGCTTCCTCTTGCCTTCCCATCCAGCTTTGGGAGACAAAATGGCTTCCAAAGTCCAGGGAGCCTTCGCCTCCTGTGTGTTTCTGACTCTTTCCGTTCTCCCTTCCCGCATAATAGCTTGGAAGGCTATTTTTCTAAATGAATTTTCAGATAAAAAATGAGAAAAGAACTAGGCTTGACAAGCCTTCCACTTCATATCCTCTTAAGACAAAATGGCTTCCAAAGTCCAGGACGCCTTCTCCTCCTGTGTGTTTCTGATTTTTTCTGTTCTTCCTTCCCACATAACAGCTTGGAAGGCTGTTTATTTTCCTAAATGAATTTTCAGATAAAAAATGAGAAAAGGAAAGAACTAGGCTTGCCAAGCCTTCCACTTCATCTACTCTTAAGACAAAATGGCTTCCAAAGTCCAGGAAACCTTCTCCTCCTGTGTGTTTTTGGCTCTTTCCCTTCCTCCTCCCAAACATACAAGAGTTTGTAAAATAGGCTATGTGTATTGAAGAACTGTGAATCATCAATGTTTATTTATAAACAATAAAATAAGTGAAAAGAGAGTTAGTAAAGCTGGGAGTGAAGTACTACATTTTAGAAGATTCTTGGTGCCTTTTTTTTAAAATTTATTTTATACGAAGTACTACATTTTAGAAGATTCTTGGTGCCTTTTTTTTTAAATTTTATTTTATACAAAAAAACACATACATAACAAAAATACAAAAAAATACAAGTAATAGTGCTTATTATAAACTAAATTCTAACGTGCACCCCATACCCACGGGACTCTATTTACTATAATAATTTTTTTTTACAGATTACCTCTCCAAAATTGTATTGAGGCTTTCCCCCTTCCTTTCACTAACACAAATTCCACAAATTTACCCCAAATATCATAGAAATTGTTACAACTTATTTCCCCTCTTTTTATTTTAAGTTCCATAGTCAATTTATCATTTAA